TTGTTTGTTTCATCAATCTGTATGTGACGCATTTATAACGCGAAAAGTAATTTCAAAGCTGCCAGTTTTAATATGAACTTCAAGTTTTTAACAAAGTTACATCACAGGATTGGCTTAACAACACACCCCGGTAGTGGAAAGCGACAGGGTTGCATTTTAAAAGCGATTATGAAAGTAGTTTTTAAAGTTAATCAAGCGAGGAGGGCGTGTTTTAATTTTTTAATTTTTAATGAGTTTTCTGAAAAGATTAAAATGTCTTATTAATAAAACGAATTGGCAACATTTTTATTTAATTTAATAGCAATGTGTTATTCATGGTACTATTTCAAGTGGATTATTTGTAAAAAATCTTTATCAAAACAAAAAATAATTGCCAACTTTATAAGATCATGAAATTGCCTTAACTGTGTGATCTAACTAACAATATGTATTTTCTTTAATAAGAGTCCTAAGCGTTGTCAAATTAAAAATTTATAATAGAAGCAAATCAACAACAGGTACCTGCAGTTTAATTCCAGAGCACCTTTATAAGACTACAAGTTAAACATAACCACAAATGCAACCACTTAAACTCCAATAGAATACAATTAGAGCAATCTGACATGTGCTGAACAATGCTACACGAGCGGGCCGCGTTACGCACAAGAAAAGATTACTTACACGCGGCGAGCTTTCGCTAGACAAGTGAAACGCTAGAATAGAACAGCCATCTACTTATAACTTAGCAATTGTTTAATTAATGTGTTGTTTTATACTAATCTTTTTTGTAATTTACATTGTAAAAAAAAATATTTGAAATTAAGACAAAAATATAAATAAAGGAATAATAATATACTAATAAAGTAAACTAAATATTAATAAAAATTTAAAGGATTTTTGTACTTTATTGTTAATGATCTACCGATGTTTTCTAACGAATACAGGGATTTTAAGAAAGCAGCGTGCAGCGTGCTTTTATTTTACGGTAAGGAGAAAACGCACTCCACTCTCAAAGTGTCAATGAGGTGATGATCGCATACTGATACCATTTGCCCCTTCTTTTATACAAAAAAAAACCACTTCTACCTATAATAAAATATTTTTGGTAAGTTATTCTTCAAACACTAGCGCTCTACACTAGCGGTAAGTTATTCTTCAAACACTAGCTCTATCACTAACCCTTCACTGTCACCTGAACATATCTCACGGTACATTAGGCAGCCATTCGCAAATTGAACCACGTGATCTATGCTTCAATGAACTGTCTCTTTTACTCAGGCTATGTCTGAACGGCCCAGACATAAATCGTTATTATAACGTCCATTGTTAGTCCGTGCGCAGGCTGTATGAGCTAATAGTGTATTAAGTATGCAGGCCCAGGAGTGAGTGTACTAAGCCGCCTTACGGGCTACCCGAATCACGTGCGTGGACGGATGCGGTATCCGGTGGAGCCTATAGAAAAAACCGTTCGGTTTAGCAATTGTTTTGGTTGGCGAAAGGTATTTTTATCTATTCTTTTGAGCAAGGAGATAAATAGCGATAAATGCACGTTGATGATCAATTTATATGCACAAGCACGCAATCGTACAAACGTATTCGCGTCGATTACTAAAAACATGTTATTAATAAGTCCTAGGTGCCTACAAGATGGACTAAATCTAGGTATATGTAAAATAAGACGTTATTTTGTAATCAGATACGAGTACAATTAGGTAAATACTAAGTCATAATTACACCTACAGTTACTACAATTTTTTCTAATATAAATTGACTAAAGCTGTCTATGAATTAATTTTACCCCTAAGTAGCTTATGAATTTATTTACTTTTAAAAATTAATTAAAGTAAAATAGTAACTATGACGACTCCGACTGACTCCGTGGCATCATATCATAATGTAAAAGTACCTAATAGGTATTATTTTGCAAAAAAAATAGTTTTTGAATGATATTATTATGATTTTCGCAATATCGCTCTTATTTAAACCGCATAACCTAATTATCTTATTTATTTGTTGAATATAATGTTCAGACGAAAGTACGTCAAGCTAAATACACCTTATACAGTCGTAACACGAGCGAGTTTGCAACAAAAATGTGCAGTCTAATGTTGTACCACTATTATACCTTCTGTTATCTCTCTAGAAGCACAATCATATGACTCAGACTCAGGGAGTCCTCGGCGACTTCCTCCAAAGCAGGAAGATCAGCCTTTGGCGCCGCGCCAAGGAACATCCGATTATACTAAACTATTGACCGCCTTGTTTACGTAGATAAGCACGTTATACTTACTTATGGCGAATAGCTATGAAGTCAAAAGTTTTCTAAGCACCACGAGGCGTAGTTTTAAAAGCTCCCACGAGTAAATATCTATATCTATAAAAGCAAAAGGTCACTGATTGACTGACTCACTTCGTCAGAAAATCTCAGAAACTACATGTGCTAGGAGATTCAAATTTTGTAAAAAAAAGCAAACGTAGGTGCTCACTAAGACGGGATTTTGCAAAATTCAACCCCTAAGAGAAGTAAAACGGGATCCACGCGTTGACGCGTACGAAGTCGCGGGCGGCCGCTAGTATCAAACATGTATGTATATAGAGCCTACTTAATAATACTAGCAATACTAGTCATAAATTATAAATTATGTCATAAATTATGAAATAAGCAGCGCAAGAAACTCAATCACCAATAATTAGCCTCTTTTTAAGGGTTCACAATAATAATATCTATAATTAGTAAGTTAGTCAAGTCTATAATAGAAATGACATAATAAATATTTAATGATTGAAAATAACTATGATTGTACCTACCTACTCATGGCTTTAACAGCTGTCCCGGAGTAGAATCTGCTACCGTGTGTTTTGTATTGGTCCGGTAAACCACAAGTCCAGATGGTCACCTTTCATGGTTACACATTTTATGAATATAAATTATTTTATTATGAATCACAACATCATTGATGAAGATACATTATTATGTATTAGAATTTAGCAATTTTTATACTTAGCCTGGGTTGAACAACCTTATTTTAACCGTAACAATAACTGGTGCTTTTTGTTTGGAGTTTAACAGATTATTTATGCTTGTCAAAGTTAAAGTAAGATGGTGCAACTGAGCCTTAATTAATTATGTAAATCTGCAATTGTACAACACTATTATTTACTTAAACAATATTCAAGTAGGTATGTGGTATTCTCTCTAAATGATGTAACATTAACAAAGTACAGTCACTTTGGTTGTCCAAAATTGTATTTGATTAAGTGTGTAAGAGTGTGTATATTGTGTATTGTTATAAACCTACCTAATCAGTGCACTTAAATGAGCTTTTCGATGAAATCATTATCTGTATCCCTTTCAGCACAGAATAATACGAAAGTGCGTTCGACTTTGAAAAAATCTAGTGAATTGGTAAATCAATTTTACCGCGCCAAGACGCTTCCGATCGATCGTACGGTTCGATATATTTGCTATTTTTCATACAAAAACTTTCAATGGCGTTCAGTCGGTGCTGTGTTGAGTGACAAAGATGGACGTGTACCTGACTACGGGAGGCGTGAAAAGTATTAATTTATTTAAATTACTTCTTTTGTGGATTTCAATGAATTTTGTGCGTATTAATTTAAATTATATCCTTAAAAAATATAATTCGCTTTAATTTTATAAAAAGTTAGATGTAACCGAGTACCAGGTACTCCTAAAGTTCTACAGCACGAGCGTGCATGTCGGGACGATGTTTGAATTTTTGGTAATGTAAGTAATGGAAACCTTTCGAATCTTTTAAAGGCCTGAACATCAGATTTACTCTAGAATAAACTCAAGAATGTCTCCGAGACACATAACCACCAAATAGTACAAATCCGCTGTAGAAAATACAGCCACCAGTGAAAATATCGAGAGGATACCAGGATTCTAGTACCAATAGATGAACCAAAATGATCCCTTTTATGAAAATATCTAACCCCATGTGTTATTGAATAATAGCCTCGACATCTGGGATTCAAAAAAAAAAGTTATTACTGAAAACGAAAGCTCATGTTCAATTTTAAGATGCTACTACCCCCAAAATTCAGGTTTTGACAGAGTTCTAGGTTAGACCCATGAGCTATTTTTGAATTTTTTTGCAGAAATTAGTATCTAATTACGATATCATGTCTTTATGAAGAATAATAAAGCTCCTTATATCTAAAATGTCTTTTTTTAATTAGTTTAAATTGTAATTGTAATGAAATAGCTATTCATAGGTTCATGACGGATTGATACGATCGTGCGGGGGGGTTTAGGGGAGTTAAAGTCACCTCCTAAATTTTTTCGCTATTTTTCTCTATTTACTAAGATCCTAAAGACCCCAGAAACTAACGCGATTTTTTAGAAATCGACAAATTTTCCTCTCGTGCTGAAAGGGCTAAGATAACAAAACATTATATAATTAACTAAAATTGTCAAGACTCATCTATTCTATGTAGCTTCAAACCAGAAAGTTTGTCAAAGAACATTGGTCCTAGTGTTACCAAAATATCAGGTAGAGAAATATTTTGACAGTTACATCTTATCCAAACTAAAGCGAAGGCAAAATATTTTAGTGCCAACAAACTTTCACAATGCTTTCGTTTTGTCACTAAAGCTTCCTTTTATTTTATTGTATTTGAACCTATTGTCTCTGCTATAGTTATTTATCTATTGTTAGCGAGTTTTTGCTTTGATTTTAGTAGAAAATAAATAGTTATTCTCAATAGTGACAAAATGGAATTGCTGTGTAATATTTTAAATGCCTATTTTATATTTTAAAATGATAAGCCTTTACATTGAGATTAAAATTTGGCAATTATTGATATTACAAATTGTGTACTGAAATGTGAGTTTACTGTATTATAATTTTGCATTGGAAATAAAATGTATTGTGCTAATAAGCTTTATTATTATTCTTATTGTAAATGTGTCATGTTCATTTAAATCTGATGGAATTTAAAGGGTTCATAAATGATATTCAAGTTTATAAATCTTCATCACTTTATTTTTATCTGTATAAATAACGCATTATCACTATTATCAATATACTATCATCACTTGTTTTTGCTATTTACAATACTCATATACTACAGCAGTCTTTAAAATTTTATTACAATCTATACACAGGATAACGAACAGGCAATAATAGTTCAATTACATAGATTTGGTATAGCACTTACTAGCTAATAATTACAATATATACAGCGGACTATTGGTTTAGATCTATTATATACAATGACTGGAAGGTGGGCACGCTTCGCCCTTTAGACTAGGTAACCTTGCACGGTATTGCCAGTGTCTACCAGAGGCGGTGGCGGCGGCCATTGGCGCATGTCGCGCCGCCGGCCGGGGGCCATGCCATGCTCTAAAGAAGAGTAATCAGAATCTATTGACGAATAAATATGATCTGAGATAGGCCTGCCATCAGGACCGTACACGACCCCCTGCGTCTGTCTCATAGCAGAAGGCGACTGACGCACCTCGCTGTTATACTCAGGAGGAGCGCTCGCCCCCTGCCCACCCAATACTGGCGACTTATCAGGATACTGCAAAGTACGATTCCCCCCATTAGGCACTGATGAGTCTAACGTATAAGTGTTTATACTCTTCCTATAATTATGACTTCGCCCTTTATGCCCGCTCGAATTGGGCATCGCGTACCTAAGATTCTCCCAAAACTTTTTCTGATCCCATCTGAGCCGGTACCCTGTTTTTAAATAAGGTCGCAGATCAGGGTCGCACATTGCATCTGGCACGACCGTGCACTCCTCTATTAGGATTAGTTTGTGAATGCACCCTTTGAGCGCGTCGTGCAACCCTTGACGGAATTCATATCGGGCCCACTCTGTTTGCATGAAATTTCTCGTAAGAATTATTATTATACGTTTCGACGCTTCCGCCGCTTCTATCACTGGTGGCGCACATTGCATATATTGGGCCCCGTGATGTGGAATGTCTCTGTAATGTAGACAAAGATGGTACGAGGGGTTCCCACCTTCCAATTTGGGCGCTAGAGACTGAATTACAAATTCTTCATCTTTCGGACTATAACACACATAAGCATCATACAACTTTTCGCTGTCTTCAAAATCTCCAGCGAATGAGAATACTCGAATGCCGCAGTTCGTGTAAAGCCATACTCTGAGTGTATCTCTAAAAAGAAACAGTACTACAAGAGCCAATAAAATTAACATAAACCCGGTGAGAGTCGACACCATCATGGGAACATAGTTGGACACCAGCATGTTTCCGATCACTGAATTATCGGCATAATAATCGCTGCAGGCTGTGCCGTTCAAATTGAGTTCTTTTTTCTGCGGCGGCTTCGCGTCTCCGTTCCAACACCATACGTCAGTAATGTCAATGATTTTTTGCGCACTCTCTGCCAGGTACGCAGTTAATTCCTGCAGGTAGCGACATTTACACGACCACAAATTGTTCCCAAGAGACAGAGCTTTTAAACTGGGGTTGTTATTAAAAGTCCAAACACCAAAATCGACTAATCTGTTCCCATCGAGGCGTAATATTTCTAAAGATTTTAATGAAAGGAATGATATGTTAGCGATATGACTGATAAGATTATTTTGCAAAAACAGTTCTTTTAAGTTAGTTAATTGATGAAATTCAAAACCTTTCAGCTCTTTTAACTTATTATTACCGAGATGAAGAATTTGTAAAGCGTTTAGTCCCGCGAAAGACATATTTTGAATACTATCTACATTACTATTATTTACATACAAAGATCTCATTTTTTGTCTACCAATAAATACATGATTTTGTAATTCTCTAATATCATTCCCATCTAAAAATACTTCGGTAGCGTCCATTGGAATTTTCTGGGGTATTTCCGTTGAGGATTGTCCAGAACAGTCTACAACATTAGTATTCCACAGGGGATCATGATAACAGGTACAATTTTGAGGGCAAGTCATTTCACAATCACACGCATCGTAATCACAGCAGTGACAGATGGCAAAACAATGAGTCTCATACTTACAAAGAAAGTCTGTAGTCTTAAGATTAGTTAAGGGCACATGAGTTCCACTGCGAGTGTTGGTCATTTTACACAAAACATTCTCCAGGTCCATCACACGCGGGTACTGCCGCATAGCAGTCATATTGTTTATGATCGGCAGCCATTCCATAGAGCAGTCGCACTGGAACGGATTGCCCCCGATATAGAACTCAGGTAAACTTTTATTTTGGGGCACTGTTGACAAACGCAAACTATTCAAATCTAAACGCACTATTTCGTTCGCGTACATGTCCACTCGCGTAAGATTTTTCTTATCGAAAAACGTGTTCACATGGATATTGTTCAAAAAGTTATTATTTATGAATAATAACTCTACACTATTAGGAATTGCGATAGGTGAAATTTCCACTATATGATTATGACTAACGTCTAGAGTCTTTATGCGAATTTCGTCTTGTAACTTGTAATAGTTTCCTAAGTGTTCGATATAGTTGCCGTGAATGTCCAACCACTTTAGATTACTAGGCACAAACGCGTAATCGAACCACACTAGATGATTTTCCGATAGATTCAGCCACAATAAACTTGCTAGCGAAGAGAAGACACCGTTGATATCCGACAAGTAGTTTCCATCAAGCCGTATTGCCTCCAGCTGTGTATTTCGGCTGAAAGTACCGCGTTCTATTGATTGAATTTTATTCTTAGCAATGTTGAGTACTTGTAAGCTTGGTAAGTCCCAAAACATTCCGACGCTGAGATTTCCAATCTGATTGTCAATCAATCTCAGGCCAGTTAATTGGTTGAGGTTTTTGAAGGAGCCGTTTCTGAAGTTTGATATTTGATTCTCGCCTAAGTCGAGTGTTTTCAAGAAAGACAACTCCCAGATAGCTTCGGGAACATCCATTAGTTGATTAGAACTTAAGTCCAATTCTTTCAAATCGGAACAGTTCTTGAAGGCTTTTCGATCGATGTTCACAAGCAAATTGTTATTGAGAGTCAATTTGCTAAGTACAAATAATCCGTTGAATAGGTTCTGGTCGATTGTGTGTAAACGGTTTTCAGCCAAATTCAATGTGTGTAAGTTGTACAATGGCAAGAAGGCATTGTCTTCGATATAACCAATAGAATTGTTTTTCAAATTCAATACTTGTAGGAAGAATAAGTCTTTGAAAGTTTTCTCTCCGATTCTCGTCAAGGCGTTATTAGCTAAGTTTAGGACAATCAAGCGTATCAATCCTTTGAACGTGCCGTCGTCGATATGGTTGCTTGTCAGTTGATTGCTTGATAAATCTAAGACAATTAGTTCCTCTAAGCGGTGGAACACGCCTGGCCCTAATTCATAGAGCGAATTGTCGTTCAAATATAGCTCCCTCAACTCTCGTGCATTAGCAAACAATCCTTCGGGCAGCATTTCTAGTTTATTGTGTGATATGTTTAGAACCCGAATTAGTAGTCCATTAAAAACATCGTTTGATATGTCTGTGATATTGTTATGTTGCAAATATAAATACCGCAAACTTCCTAGTTTGAGTATTTCCGATGTTTCCGGCAGAGTTTTAATCTCGTTGTTACTCAAATCCAAACTGCGAACGTTCAATCCGCAGCCCTGGCCAAACCCAAGTTGTCCAACTGTTCTTATTCTGTTATTTGTCAAGTTTAATGTAGTCAAATTTCCTAAAGGACAAAACACGCCGGATGGAATAAATTTTATGTTATTTTGGGCGAGATCCAGCGATTCCAACTTGGGTAATCCATTGAAGGCGTTTAAAGATAACTCCAAATTCTTCGTCGGAATCCATTCGTAGTTCTTTGAGCGTAGTTTCAGCCTTTTGAGTCTGCCGAGATCCTGGAACGTGTTGTCTGGCACATGTAGAAGCTTGCAGTTTGTGATAGAGAGGTCAGTTAGACCCGTAACACGGCCGAAGTAGCGGGCCCGCAGCGAGCTTTCGAAGAGTAGTAAATGGTTACACTCGATGTTTAAGCGGGTGGTATCCGGAGTCACTGAAGAAATACTGTCACCATCACCGTCAAGAGTCCGTGTCTTGCAAACAACACTCTCCGAGTCCCTATCCCGGACGCACTTGTCCGAGCCGTAGGGAAGCACCGCAGCGCTAATGTGCAGTAGCGCACACAAAACAGTCGTTACGGCATACATTATCACAGATCTTTCATTTCACTACAAAATGTCTCATAAACACTCTCCGTGGGTCGATATCACCATTTCCGAAACAAAGTACGTGTTACACTTTGAAGAAAAACTAGATAGCATTTCACTGCACTGTGGTCCTTGTTGTCGTCAGTCCATAAAGCGCGTTGATATTTTTGTGATGATCACGAAGTTTGTTATTTTTGTTATGATGATAGTTTGTGTGATAAATGTTATAGATGCGTGTGGCGGAAGGTGGCGTGGTGTGGCACGACCTTTCCGCGGCGCGTTCGCGTTGCGACTGTCAAGCTGAGCGCTTGACTTGTGGAGGTGCCAGCGGGGAATCTCCCCGCGCCCCGCCCGCCGTAAGCTCCGCGCTCTGTGAGAGTTGAGACGTGTAGCGACATCTAGCGGCTGGTAGCGACATCTGAAACACAATAAGCTCTTCTGAGAAGTTATGATTGGAAGGACTCTTGATGATGAGATAAAGGACTTATTTTTTCAAGTCAAAATATTAAGGAATGATACCGCATATTTGAACTACGTATAACATTTTGTAATATCGATTTTATTTTAATGCGTTTTTTATAAAAAATGTGCATATTTTAAGTAAACATTAATTGTACGACTAAATAGCATATTATATTTTTATTACAATGTCGAACTTCTTTAAAATGTATATAAATCCTTTACCTATATTATTTACCTATATACTTTGGACTTTCATCATAAACTTTATCATGTCCAATTTATTGTACAAAACTTTAACTTAAATCACTATCATTTGATTAACATCAAGTCAAATACACTCGAAACACACTCTGCTGAAGTAAAATGCTTTTAAATTTTCGGGGACAAAATTGTAAGTTAAATTTTTCCATTGTTTCCTAATTTTTTCAACGTCAGAAACAATGTCTCTACAGGGACTGCAGAATTGAAATATCGTGTTTCATGCTTTTAGGGACAATAATAGTCTTGATGCATTATAATGAAGAAAAGTTGTTTTGTCTGGTTAGTTGAGTTACATTTTTTAAATTGTGAAATTAATTTAGTAGCTACTTCGAGTATATGTATACTGCGTTATTTATTAGTTAGTGAATTCTGATATTTTAGTGTAGTAGGTATATGTGACTGTCATACAGTCATACATATTTTGGAACAAGTTGACGGTAATTTTTGTTTTAATCGAGCTGGTTTTTTTTTTCAGAATAATTATGTGGAATTCGCAACTTTGAGAAAGCTCGACTATCGAAAATAATATTAATGAAGTTCAAAAGTCGGTACAATTTCAAGCAAAAATTAAGACTTTCCAATGTTTAAAACCAAACACAGGACCTGACAGATATTGAATCGGCGAGCGCTGTTCTGGTAATAAAGACCTCAAAGTCTCTATACCCCAATGACAAAAGTGTCACATGTAACCTTCACATATTCCACGATCTGGTGAAGGTCGCGGGAAGTTCCTGGATGCGGGCAGGGCAGGACCGATCATGGAAATCCTTGGGGGAGGGCTTTGTCCAGCAGTGGACGTCATTCAGCTGAAACGAACGAACCTCAAAGTCCCTTAACCCAACAACGAAAGTGTCACATTTAACCTTCACACATATTATCAATCCAGTTCAAAGGAAAAACTTTAAATCGCATGAGTCACTTGAAAGCAATGGAGCGAACATTAATGAAATCGGGGGACACCGCAGCCGCGGTCCGGCTGACTCGGATAAACCGCAAATCACGGGACTAAATGTTCGAACCAACACGTACCTAGTTAGAGAGTTTAGTTATTTTACTTAGTTTTTAGATTTAAATTTTTAAAATGAAAAGAATAAAAAGTGAAAAATGTTACAAAAAAGGGAAATATTATTTTAACTAATTTTACGCGTAAGTCGCGAACACAGCTAGTTCTACTATATTTTGAGTTTTGTGACGGTAAGTAAAATAATAATGTATCAAAAGCTATTTTACCAATTAAAAATCTAAATTATCTGTTGTTGTTCAATGCCTGAATCTAATTAATTAATTAAGGAATATTTTGTAATCACACGCTAGATGGCGCTAGTCATTGTTAGCTGAGTGAGATACAGTATCTCAAGTGACTATCGATCAAAGGATTTATATTTTGCTAAAGATTACAATGCAAATCCAGTATTTTAGACTGTAACAGCTGTTTCAAATTCAATTAAGTAAGTTGCCTTTAGATAATGCAAACTAGTTTTGAAACTTCCTTTTTAGTAAGTTTTTAACAGTTTTGAAAAACCTACTGATAAGACCTATCTTTCCCAGGCTATTTTATCAAGACAAGTCAAACTTTAACCTGGTTTTCCAACTAACACATTTTGACCGGAAAATCATTGTGCACTTATCTAACTTCTTTCTTTATTAACACCTTTAAAATTGCGCGATAACGTCCTAAAACCAGACTTCAAAAAAACCTGTGGCGACTGGCATGCTTCAAACTTCCATTGTCTATCCCAATCCATAATAGATTTAAATTTTTAACCCTCCATTAACTATGCATCCGGTTTTATACTAATAAACCCTTCAGGTAGGCGAGCTTATCTGACCCATGGTTAACACTTCTACGAAATTCAATTGTTTTCACTTAATATTTCCCCTTGCGTTATGATTCATTCATAACCATGAGAAAGTTTGATTTCTGAATGTTATCTACGTTTTTGAGGTGTTACGCTAGTATTGTCTTGAGATAATCCCCACTTTGGGTCAGAACAATACGATTGTGGATCGCATGTTGCGCAGTTTTTGAGTCACACTTTTACTGGGAATGGTTTACCGCATTGTAATGTTTTATTATCAGCTTTTTGGTGTTTTCAGAATTATCATTTACCACGTGAAGGCGTGATAGTGAATGAAAGTTGAGAAATAGTACTTACTAATACTTAGTAGGTACATTTAATGCCGACGTGTTAATAAATTAATTGGCATTAAATCTAAAATACTATAATATTTTACATACTGCTTACATAAAATATTGTCATGGATTTTTTTAAAATTAATTTTGTCTTTTTAAGTACATAATTGGTTAAGATAACTTGATAACTATAGATACATCTTTAATACATACAGTACAAGTATAGACTGCAAATTGAAATACGCTTTGCTATCAGTTTAAGATTTGCAGTCCAGTAGGCCGCCTACTGTAGGCGGCTGATATGGCCATCACGCTGAGAACACTATCCGATGCAGTATCAGCGACTCTTTAAATAGCTGTATTACAGCCTACACAAGTCAAAGCAATACTAGTGTATTATCATTTATGTAGGTATGGTTCGTCGTTTCAGCCAAATGACGTCCACTGCTGGACGAAGGCCTTCCCCAAGGTTTTCCACAATGAACGGTCCTGCGCTGCCCGCATCCAGGCTCCTCCCGCGACCTTTACCAGATCGTCGGTCCACCTAGTAGGAGGCCTGCCCACGCTATGTCTTCCAGCCCGTGGTCGCCACTCGAGAACTTTTCTGTCCCAACGGCCATCGTCTCTACGAACTATGTGCCGCTTGATTTTAGCAATTCTGCGAGCTATGTCGAGTTATGTAGGTATAAGGACGAATTTTGCTTACAATCCAAACTCAACTATAAGCAATTTTGTAAATCATAACCCTCTACAACCCCAGCCATTTAGGCATAAACGTCTTGCCAAACAATATCAAACCATTAACGGTCGTATAAGTTAACCCAAAAATGCATTCGGGGTCTATTGTACCGACTGTAGACACGCCCGTAATGTGTTGACATCGTTATGGCGGCTATAAGAGCACGACAATGCAGATAAGATCCAAACACGGTTGTGCGTTGGAGGGTTAAGTTTCGAGGGGTCCGTTGTAGAGTAGACTTTTGTGGATAAAATAGAAATACGAGTACTAATAGCACCCTTCACTCGTAATAATTGGATATGGGACTGTCATGTCAGTGAAGTAACGCTTGAAGAAACGTTACTTGCATTATTGTGTACGGACGACAGCACATCAATGAAAACACTGTGGTTATACGTACGTGATGTAAGGTGCGATTTTGCAACGAATTTTTTTCTCTGGCACTCATTCATCATCTACCGCCGTCTATTACCGCCCTGGATTTCTCGACTTAGGTGACATAGATTCAAATTTGCTACTCATAAACAAGTAAGTACCTACCTTTTAAACAGTGACAGTCTAAGGTTGAGTTGCACCACCTAATTTTGACCGTAAGGCCCAGAACAGACGGTGAAACGCAACTGCAACGAAACTGCAACTTTGTGATGATTCTGATGAATGAAACTGAAACTGCACATGTGTGGTCTCTCATAGGACGCGATGGCAGAAACTTAGATGCAACTCAAAAGTAACTAGCAGTTGCAGTTTCGTTGCAGTTGCGTTTCACCGTCTGTTCTGGGCTTTACTATAACGACAACCCGTGGTTTTTGTATGGAGTTTGACAGATTTTTGACGTTTGTCAAAGATAAAGTAAGATGGTGCAACCCAGCCTGAAAGTTTTTTTTTCTAAGTCGAATATTTTTCTACACTCTTGTGCAACCTATTAACATGTCTTCTTCAACATTTTCCAAGTATACATAATCCTATATATTATCAATATACCCTCAAATCTCGACCTTTTCCAAGCTATCGCAAATACGCGTCTCCATTACGCCGTATCAATGGCGGCCGGAAACGGAACCGGACATAGCATAGCTATGGTTATTGTAACGCGATATTTGATACCGAATGCGATAGTGAGGATTAATTTGCATGTATTATGATGGTATTAAGAGCGGTTTGTTGTTATGTGTACAGTAAATCTGATTATTATTGTTTATTAATTGTAAATAACTAAAACTACTACTCAATCAACCAAGCTAATCTACGCTTGACACAATCTATGGTGTTGCCACAATATATGGTGTTGCCGCAATCTATGGTGTTGCCACAATGTATGGTGTTGATACAATCTATGGTGTTGCCACAATCTATGGTGTTGCCACAATCTATGGTGTTGCCACAGTCTTTAACGTTGCCACAATCTTTGACGTTGCCACAAATTATGGCGTTGGTTTCAGCCACCCACCTGAATTGGTGAAATTAAGATTACATTAACTGGACTACAAAGAAAGACATTAACTGGACTACAAAGAAAGACATTCACACCCGTATTCACAAACATTACCATGAAGTCTCACAGTGCGCGTGGACAAACAGGGGTCACCCTGTGTTCGTGTGCCAACACGAACCAATCACAGAGCTGTGCTCAACACTGTGCGTTCGATTTGCTGCTTCACTTAAGCAAGCATCGTTTGTGAATACGGGTGTTAT